CTTGGGTCCCCTTTTAGCACAACATGTACTGCATGTTCTGCACCATTCTTCCACATCTTGTCTCATACCTATCCAGTAAAATCTCTGTTGTAGGTCACTCAATGTCTTCTTAACTCGAGTTGTCCTCCTGTTAAACTATCATGGGATTGACGCAGCACAACTTCCCGTAACTTTCTCGGTATAATTGTTTGCCACGTCGTCACTTTCCCATCTCCAGAGAAGAATACCATCTTCAAGCTTCAACTGGTCCCATTGTGCCCAATAGTTCTTTGTCGCAGGGCTTAAACTAGACACCTTCTCCCAAGCAGGGCACAAAATACTTTATTTTAGAAAATCAATTACTGGCTTCAAATCTTGATCTTTCTCCTGCTCTGCTTTAATATCTATACCTGGTTCCACTTCACCATCATCAGCTCCTTCAATCACTTTGACTTCAGCTTGATGACACCTGGTTAGTCTAACCTCTTTTTTAACACTTACTGGAATTTGGCCTTCTTTGTTCCCAAACGTCATTTTATCAAAATTAATTACACACTCCCTCGGTAGTAAGTAGTCCAACCCTAATATGCATTGATCTTCAATGTCAGCCAGGGGCTTTTTCAAAGATGACATTGCAAGAATTAAGTTTGCCTGAAATTGGTTTGAAAAGCATGAAGTTACTTTAGTAATTATCTTAAGCAAGTATAGTAAATTAATCTCTATCTGATCATCCTATTTCTCACCGTAATTCTCTGGTGTCATATGCGAGCCAACTGCAGACCATACTTCTTGACGAATGAGTCCCAATCGAAAAAGACAACTTGTTGAACATATAATGAGTTGATCATAAGGTGGTAAAGCCCAATAAGAGTGTCCAGGCAGTGTATTTTCTTCTATGGGCATATGTACTTTGAAATGAACTATCAGGACTTATTGTAAATGTACCAAAATTTATTTACTTACATATTTTGAAAAAATTTGAAAATATATTGCTTTTGTGTATGGGTAGATATAAAACATTTACCAGATTTCACCTTTAATATTACTAGAACCAAATGTTCATAAGTGGCTTATTTTGTTTATCTTGTGATGGTAACGTTTTCTGTTGATCCTGCATGATTTTGAATATATTGAACAAAATTCATGGTCACTTGTTAAGATTTAAAGTTACTACATTTCATAAGATTTATAGAATTGATTTGTAAAGACTGTTTGTTCTTGTTTTGTTTTCTTAAATTAGTAATTTGAACATATACAGTTATGCTTATTGTGTTTTTCTTGTGGATAAACTTAGAAAATTTTAACGCTTATGAGATTTATCTTTTTTTTTTTTTTTTAATACCTTTATATTTTGT